TCAAGCATTGAAACAGGCTGCCCAGGGAGGCAGTGCATTCACCATCTCTGAAAGCGTTCAAAAAACGTGTGGATGTCATGCCTCAGGACATGGTTTAGGGGACATGGTGGCGCTGGATTAATGGTTGGACTTGATGATCTTGAAGGTCCTTTCCAACCTTAGTGATTCTGTGATTCTGCCCTTCTACTCCACTCTGGTGAGTGACCCCATCTGGATTACTGTGTCCAGCTCTGGAGCCCCTCAGCACAGGAAAGAGATGGACCAGAGGAGGGCCACAAAAATGATCAGAAGGATGGAACACCTCTCCTATGAAGAAAGGCTGAGAGAGTTGGGATTGTTCAGCTGGGAGAAGAGAAGGCTCCGGGGAGACCTTATTGCAGCCTTTCAGTACTTAGAGGGGGCTTACAAGAAGAATGGGGACAGACCCATGCCTAAAGCAGGGCCTGTTGCAGTAGGACAAGGAGTAATGGTTTTAAACTGAAAGAGGGTACATTTTGACTAGATATAAGGAAGAAGTTTTTCACAATGAGGGTGGCGAAACACTGGAAACTGGTTGCCCAGAGAGATGGTAGGTGCCCCATCCCTGGAAACATTCAAGGTCAGGTTGGACAGCGCTCTGAGCAACCTGATCTAGTTGAAGATGTCTCTGCTCATTGCAGGGGGGTTGCACTAGATGCCCTTTAAAGGTCCCTCCCAACCCAAACTGTTCTATGATTTTGTGATTATGATGAATCACTGTATGGTCAAGGGAAAAAGTTAGGTGGTTCGTTTCTCCATACTGCTACTTTAACAATTGGCAGGCTTATTTAAATATATTGCATTGCATTTTCATAAGCAAAGTCTGCTATACCCAGTGTTTACACAATGCAGGGATTCTAGAGATACTACTGTAACAGTCAAGCATCAGGCCTTACAAAGCAACACTGACACCAGTTATTTATGTAGGAAGAAGTAATTAGTATACCTGAGTGTTTGGGCTCACCTCTGTCTCCATGCACTTTCCCATCATAGTTCTTGATCAGTTCTTCAATAAAGGTACCATCCTGGTCAAGCACTTCATCTCCCATATACGGAATGTTATGTAAAACAGTTTCATCCTCTACCTAGTAACAACAGTTATAATCAATTTCAAATTGCATTGTCAATTGACCATTTCTGCACTGCTATTTTCTCAATCTACAAGTGTCTAGCTACCACAGTTAACTAACTGGCTTCGCTGCTTTAGCACATTTACCATTAACCAGATACATAAAACAAAACCCTCATCTTTGTTCAACAATTTTTTGCACTGTGGTGACTGCCTCAAGATACTGACACTAGCTACTAACATGACGGTTAGCAGGACGTTTCCACAAAGCTTTTACTATTGAAACACAGTAAGCTACCTAGATTTGGGAAGCTTTCATTTGATGAAGTTCATTCTCCCTTCCTTGGTTCTCTTCCACAGTAATGTCCAATGGAAACCACCCCTTCATTGCTTTGCCAGAGGTAAGAAAATATGATACAAGAAGACTCTAAATTCAAGTTGTCTAAAGAGCAAGCACAGAAACATGCTTCACAATTTGATCTGAACTCTATTGTAATTTTTTAGTCTATATGCAGACAAAAAGCATTAATACTCCCATGTTTTATCTGTAGAATTTACAGACCTTGATACTCAGCTGTATCTTCCAATACTACAGAATAAACTTCCATTGTTAAAAAAATAAACATAAACTTTCCTGCT